TGAAACTTTGGACTGCCCTCCTCCCAAGATCACATTTCAGGAAAAAGTGGTAGTGTGAATGGCGAGGTAGGTAAAAGTGGTAGGAGTGGGCAAGGTTGGGGGTGCAAGGCGGGTGGTGAATTGCTTCCCACCAAACGGTTGAATATAGCTTTGAGTGACAACCAATAGTATGGAGAGGCAACACAACACGTTTGACTGTTTTGAATTGCATTGTTTCCACCAATATGTCACAGTATCGTGAAGCATTGATGAACGCACTTCACAGGATCGTTTTAACAATTTGAACGCTCACTTGAAAACACAATCTATCTGTGAGTGGGCCAACCAGGAACTGTGGGGTGGTTCTCATACGCCTTGTAGTTAGGTAATAAAATACTAGTTAATTCGAAATAAAATGATGAAAAGCTTACTTTTCCATAGCTCTCTAGTACAGAGCCAATTAAAGGAATGGTTTTGGCATAAGGTACACCTTTCTTTTTCCAATATAATTGCTTTTGAGAAGAATGCCTGAAATATTGAATGAATAATAAATGTTTTCAATAAAATATTAAAAGATTTCATTTCGCACGAATAATTACATTTAATTAGAAATAATTCCATTATTTGGAAAACTTTGACTATCGTCTAGAAATTTTATTAAGCGAAATAATTAATATATGTAGCCTTTTAAAATTACTTTAACACCTGTACCAAAATTATAATAATAATAATTGTATATATATATATATATATATATATGTTACGCTTTGAAAGCCTAAACATTGTAAGTTCGTAGTGTGGCCGGTGCTTCTTGAAAAAGATACAGGAAAATACGGTAATCATAATCTAATTTTATTAACGTAAGGGCCAGAGCCCCAGAATGACAACATTACATGCTGGTGGATAGGTANGAACGCTTCATCCCCTGAGTCACCACGACTCAACTATGTCATTTATAACTTCTAGATTCATCAGAAGAAGAGCCGCCTTTGATATCCTTTCATTTATAACATGTAAGAATAATTGAAGGCGTTAATGGTTCCGTCAAAATGGCAATTTCATTTGGCAAAATGAAAATCTTCCCCTTCCAAAATATTCGCAATGCCTCTGTTCGACGGATTAGGATTCTTGACTTTAAAAGTATGGAAATATATATATATATATATATATATATATTTCCATACTTTTAAAGTCAAGAATCCTAATCCGTCGAACAGAGGCATTGCGAATATTTTGGAAGGGGAAGATTTTCATTTTGCCAAATGAAATTGCCATTTTGACGGAACCATTAACGCCTTCAATTATTCTTACATGTTATAAATGAAAGGATATCAAAGGCGGCTCTTCTTCTGATGAATCTAGAAGTTATAAATGACATAGTTGAGTCGTGGTGACTCAGGGGATGAAGCGTTCTCTTTCCAATGAGGTGAACCGGGTTCGAATCCCACCGATGACTGGTCGATACGAATCCGCATCCGGCTTGCACCGACAGCAGTGCTGACGTGAAATATTCTCAATGGATCATGGGTAAAAGTCCCCTTGCCGTTAGGCTAGCCGTGGGGGGTTCTCGTGGTCTTCCTCTCCATGTAACGCTAATGCGCGTTAGTTCCATCAAAAAGTCCTCCACGAAGGCAAATTTTTCCCAATACTTCATCCAGGAGTTTCCTTGTCTTCTGGATTGGGTTCAAAATTACAAGGCCCTTGAGTTGAACAATGACAGCCGTAAACTCAAAATTGGGTCGGCTATTTAACGACGGTTATAAAATAAAATAAGAGGAATGAGAGCCGTGGCTGCTCAGGGGATAAAGCGTTCACCTTCTAATGAGGAAACTCTGTTTCGAATCCCAGCATTGGCTTTTTGATACGAATTCTGCTCCCAGCTCACACCGACCACAATACTGACGTAAAATATCTTCAGTGGTAGATTGATCACTGGTTAGAGTCCCCTTGTCGTCGTGGCTTTCGTGGCTTTCTTCTTAGTATAACGCATATGCGGGTTGTCCTCCACGAAAATTCGTTTATCTCAAAGCTTGATCCAAGTGTTGCCTTCTGTGTCGGGCACAAAATTACAAGGCTACGCAGTTGAACATTGATAGTCGGCTGTTTAACACCGGTTAGAAAATAAATTAAGAGGAATGAAATTCTTCATACTCTTGTAATCTATATTCTTAAATTATGCTTTATGTCCGACAGTTGAATTCGCAGTCAGTCTTGGAACTGAATACAGTCCATCTACGAATTTGTTTTTAGTGTACATACGTAATCTCACAATCAATGAAACAAGTCAAAATGTGATTTTCGTTGAAATTCAAACTAAAACTAACAAACTAAAAATTATAATTAGGTAAGTATATTTCTTTATTAATAAAATTAGTTACTTAGTTTTGAGTTTAAAAGCTCGAGGGAAAATAGTATATTTTGTAGAGACGGTCTTTTTTATAACTTATTCCATACATTGTTATTAGAGAAATCATACTTTTTTTAAAAAAAAAAACTTGCCATTCTCAAAATATTAATGGATTATTGATTGGATCTAAATGAGGTTGGTTTCAAAAATGTTTTAAAAAAACTGTTTACAAAAAGTCCTAATTCTCGGAACCACCTAAACTTTTCCACAGAACTCTAGGGTTCCATGTAGTACCATTTTGAAACCACTGATTTAAAGAACCAAATCCCTTGCTCAATATAATCAATATTTTATAATCAGGTTTACTATTAATTTTTTTTCTTCAAGATTTTAAAAATAAATGAAAATGCATAAACTAATTATTTACTTCAATAAATAAAAGCTTACCATATTAGATAGAGAAAATAACAGAAGAATATTCCTATCAGAAACAGAAACATGATACCCTTTGTCGTTCTTTATAAGCTACAGGGTATTATTTAATCCCAACTTATCATCGCAATTGCCCACATGAAGAGAAATAAGACGCGAAGGTCAAGGGGATGCTTTTTCCTTTCTCTTGTTTCCGTGTTTTTTTCGTTGGCGATTAACACGGCTTCATTTAATTGTGGGGAGGGTAAAAAAAGAAAGAAGAGATAACTTATCCGACTTATGATAAAATGGAGTAGTTGACCTAAAAACAAACAAACTATTATCAAATATAAAAACGATTTGATATGAGAAAAATTTTCTTTCGCCTCGAAAGGCTTTCCGATTGCAATCAAATTTTATTTTATAACCTGCGTTGAACAGACAACACATGTGTTAGTTTACGACCATCTTTATCCAATTTAATAGCCTCGTCATGTTAAACCCAACCTAGAAGACGAGGGAACTAATGGATCAATCAACCGAACAAACTATCCTTCGTGAAAGACTTTTTTCGGAACTAACCCACGTATGAGTCACATGGAGAGAAAATTCTCCCACGGTTAGCTCAATAGGAACTCTAACCCATGATCCGTTTACCACTAAGAATATTTTACGTCAGCGCTGTGGTCGCTGCGAGTCTCGAGATTAGAATTCATATGGTCCAGCCATTACTGGGAGTTGAACTTTGATCGCCTTGCTGGGTGTTTAGTGCTCTAAACCCTTTGCCAAAGAGGAAAACCACGAAAGCTTCCCACTGTTAGCCAGATGGCATCTAATATATGATCCGTCTACCACTAAGAATATTTTACGTCAGCGCTGTGGTCGCTGCAAGTCGATATTAGAATTCATATTGTCCAGCCATCACTGGGGTTTTAACCTATTGGGTGGTTAGTGCTCTATCGTCTGAGCTACCGTAACTCCGATTATATTTTTATGAAGTTATTCTTTTTAATGGTGGATCAATAATGAATGCATTACTGCAGCAACTGTCATTTTTCAATCTTTTTGCAGGAAAAGAAGGCTATTGATTTTTCACTGTATTCATTATAAAACCTTCACGTGAGCTTTGGATTGACTCCATCTTTTTCGGCTGCAATAGGCGAATCGTGGTGGCTCAGGGGAAAGAAGCTGCTGGTTGCGGAATTTGTATCAACCACCGATGACTGGTTGGGATACGAATTTTGATTCCGGCTTGCACCGAACACAGCTAAATATTGATCCGTTGTGATCCATCTGACGCAACATGGGTAGACGGATCATGAATTGTAATTCCCTCTGCCGTCGATCTACCCGTATTTAGGAGTTCGTGAAACGCAAATTCGAGTTAGATTCATCAAAAACACCTCCCACGAAGGCTAGTTTGTCCCAATGTTTGATCCAGAAGTTCCTGGATCAAACATTGGTCAAACTTCTGGATTAGGTTCAACCTGACAAGGCTACGGTTAGTCGTAAATCAAAAAACGAGTCAGCTGCTCAACGCAGTTTTTAAATCAAATATATAATAGGCATATTGCATATTAAGGAGCTAACGCATGTTAGACACCTTACCCAAGTCGTTTAAACGCCTCTTACCATTTTGAGATTTAGTAGAAGTAATTCATGAAGTTTTACTACAAGTGCAAAAGACTTTTTTTGGTGGTGCAGTTTTTTTAACATAAACAATACTTACACTCAATTAAATAATCCCAAGATACTGAAGCGGAAAGTTATACTTGATGATTTAAAAAATTAATTTGCTTTAAGAATATGAAAATGTCGACAACTTTTGTGCGCTCAAAAATAGACGCCCATTTTCAAGACACACCGGACGTGAATAAGGAAATAAAAGTGATATGGAATAGGAAACGATAGATTGCCAACGAAAGAAGAAGAAAATAAAGGAAAGGAAAAAAAAACTACAAAAACTGCAGTAGCCGAGATTGGAAAACTAACAAACAAATAAGTAAGTAAACAAGTGAAAAATAAACATAAGAAATAAATGAATGAATAAATAATAATAAATAAATGTGAATAAAGCCAAGCAATAAACACCGCAGTGGCCGAGTGCTGCGAATCAGGGTAAACATGTTCATATTTTTAAAGCAAATAATATTTTTAAATCTTCAAGAATACCTAGAGACATTCATTTTCTCTTTTTATATCAGTAAATAATTGACGAAATTTGTTTAAGCATAGAGAAACGCTTATCGCAAAGAGTATTTCTTCTTTTGTCTAAAAACTGTTTTTTTAAGTGATAAACGACATGAAACGCGTGTAGATATAAAACCTCTCAGAGATATGCTTTCCATCTCCCATGGTTGGCTGAAAGTTTCTGTAATAATGCAGTGGACAAAAGATGTACCAAAGGATGTCTATATTATTTGGACCAGTTCATTTCTACTCGGGGTCACTCTACCATTCATTATATACTGGTGAGTCACTTTGTTCTCTCTTTGTTTTTATTATTTTATAGTCCCCCCACCCCCCCGAAAAATGAGCCAGCCAGAGTAATTTCTGATCTAATAAACGGATCTTCACGTTCTAAAACTTAATCTTAATGATTCAAGGGGGTGACCGGAAATATGTTAATTAATTGGAGCAGACGATGTTTTAAGTTACGAAATCAGACACTAAAACATACTTTCTCTGAATTAACATACCTTTTTTTGCAATCAAATTTTAAATGTACGATTTTTTAAAAATTCGCCATGTAAAATTAGATACTTTAAAACGATGTATAAAATTGTATACCTTAGAATTTATCGATTATTTAAAAAAAACAAAAACAATACTAAGTAATAAATATAATTATTATTTTATTATAATAGCATTATAATATTATTATAAATATTATTATTATTAAATTAATTCTATTGTGACTTTTGATTTCCAGGATAGCATTTTCCAGGATCCAATAGCATTTCCTTTTCCAAACTAAAATATGTCCTTTTGAATTATTACTATGATTTTAAAAATATCCTTTATTGCGATTTGGATTATTGGGAAATTCTATTTAATTTTTGTCTTTTTAATAATTATCTTTACACTGGAAAAGATGTATTTCTTCAAATTGATGAAATATCACAAGCATCTAATTATTCATCTCTCTTAACTTACTTATTTTTGCATTATTATGAAAAAAATTATACTCTTAGTATTAAATTTGTTTTTAGACTTATTAATGATTTAATTGTCTTTAATTTTCAAGATTATGATCTATTTATCAAGAGATATCAAGAGATCTATTTTATTAAATAATATTTACCCCGAGGAATTAATCTTGCTTCGTAATCATACTGATAATATTAATTTCAACTTTTTGGATTTGGGTATTATAAAAGAAGAAAATATCTGCTTTGTTGATTTATACGATAAAGGAAATGATTTTAATTTTAATATAAATAAACTAATTATTGGAATTCTAACGTTTCCAGAAGCATCTATTTAAATACCACTTTTAATGAAATGAATAGAATTAAAAGAATATGTAGTAATATTTATTTAGCCAAAAAACAAATAGATAAACTCTTTCAAAATTTGATAAAAAAGCAATGGATACCCAACTAAAGTAATTAAATTCTGTATAAAATCATTGAGTTAATCGGATATTATTGTAGATATATTTACTAAAAATTTTCTTTGTTAATTTATATAATTTTTCCATGTGCAAATCCATTTTGGGCAAATCCGTGGCTAAAATTATTTGCTAAAAATTTCTTTGTTAATTTGTATAATTTTTCCATGTGCAAATCCATTTCGGGCAAATCTGTGGCTAAAATTATTAGCTAAAAATTTCTTTGTTAATTTGCATAATTTTTCCATGTGCAAATCCATTTCGGGTAAATCCGTGGCTAAAATTATGTGCAAAACATGCAATTCGACTTTCTCTCTCTTTTCTCTTTCATATTTTTTTCTTAAATAAATATTTATTTTCTAAAATTATTTACTGTCAACTTCTTTAAATTATCCAGTATAATATTACCTTGCGCACATCCATTTTCGGGCTCCTTGGTAACTAACAAATCAAACGCACTTCAGTAATACAGTAAGAACGCACTTTAATACAAAACTCGTCTATTTACACTTTTATGTCAATTTGCTCTTTTGTTTTCATTTTTTGCAGTCTGGCAATCTTGTTACGAAAATATTTTAAACCATTCTTAAAAAATTTCCCGTTCATGTAAGTTCATTTGAATTCGCTACTCGCTTTACAGAATATGTTTCATTCTGTTTTTTCTTTTTCTTTCATTTTCTGTTTTTACGTGTTATTTTTATTTTGTGTTATGTTATTTTTACTTATTGTGTTCTATTTTATTTGTTGTAATTTTTTTGTAAAATTTTTTTAGTGTTCTTCACACTTTTTCTTCTTCTTCTTCTTCAGCACGACAGCCCCTTACAGGCCTTGGCTGCCTCAACCACGCGTAGCCTCCAACGTCTCCTATCCATGGCGACTTTTTTCCAGTTGTTAATCTTTATTACTTTGAGTTACTCTTCACACTATTGTATTGATATATCTTGCTTTAGCTATATTGATACAATATTAGAAAGCACTCTTTTTGCTGATATAATCGTGTGAGCTGATGAAGAGATTATATCTTTTATTTTCCGGATTCTTGAAAAAAAATTTGTCCCTTTTTTCGGATTTTTCCCCCCCCGGTTTTTTGTTATTATTATTTTTATTATTATTTTCCTTTTTTCCTCTTTTTTCATCGTTCTGAAATTTTCCCCTTGTTTTATCTACACTTCGAACTTATTTTATGAGCTCCATTTACNGCATATCAATTAGCTCATTAAACAGAAGGGATAAAAACTATTTTAAAAATGAAAAAAAAATTAGATTACAAATGAATAATGATCTAATAATTGTTCCACCCGAATGATTACTTAAGTTGATCATGGGGGTAAAAAATGCTCTTCATATATCATGTTCAGAAAGTACACTGAAAAACTGCATTAAAAGGATGTCTTGAAACTAATACTCTTTTTTCAAATGTTTGCAGATGAGTGAATAATCCTGTTCATCTATTTTAAATGAATCCTGTTTATCTTAAGATTTTATAAAATGAACTGGTATTTCTTTTTACTATAGATTCTTTATTAGAATCTACTTTAACAATAATTTGAATTTTACCAAAAAGAGAATCTACCAATTTAATTTATTTTAAGTTCAATAGATAGTACTCCATTTTTCTTTCTTATATTGTAACAAAATAAAGTTATTAAATTCTGTTTTTTTTTTTTAAATTGCATTTTTAAAAAGTTTTTTCCAAGCTATTAGTATATTATTTAATACACTGTTATATGAACCGAAAATAAAAATAAATTAAAATTTCTTTTTACATGAATTAATTATTAGTATAATAAATTAAGTGGACAATTTAAATTTATGATTTAATTATTGAAGATATATTTGGTCATTGCATTATATGGTTTTCGTTATATTAAATACATTGTTTTCAAAGGATTCTTGTTTTAATTATGACATGCGTAAATATATATATATACATATATACAAATAACATACATAAATATAAATGCGTAGTATATATATATATATATAAATGAATGTGTTTTCAGGTGTTCCAGTAGGAAGCACAGATATTGGAGAGATAGAGGAGTTAAATATGCTGAGCCACTTTCATTCTTTGAATCATTTTTCATGAACTCCCAAAAGGTGAAACAGGCACATCTTTTCTTTTTTTAATAAATTGTAATGGTTAACACACACCTACTTTCTTGGATTTCATTACGATAAAGTACCTACATTCAGTATTAATCAATAATTCCATAAATATATATATATTTGAAAAAATATACAAAGACAAAATTTCAAATTTAAAAAAAATAATCCGCAGAAATTAAAAAAAAAAGAATGGTTAAATTAACAAATGAAAATGAAAAATAGAACAAAAATAAATTGAACAAAATTATGAAATAAATAAAAAATAAAATAAAGAAAATGAAGAAAAAAGATACAAAAAATGGAGAAGATATATCAGGACGAAATAAAATAAAGTAGAAATTGTTGTCTGCGACTACAATAGCAAAAATTATAGGTTTATAAACTTTTTTTTATTTACAACTGATTCTCTTATGATCGATTCATTTCCTCGATTAACACAATCGCGATACATATATATCCTCATAGAACAATCCCTGACGTCTGTAAGCTACTTGAACATAGTTGCAGACCAGGTTCACCCATTCATGGCAACAGTTTTTCCTGCGGGGGATGGTGTTTACCAACAGGATAATGCACCATGTCATAAGGATCGAATCGTCGAGGAACATTCCAGTGACTTTCAAGTCATGTCTTGGCCCCCAAATTCACCTGACCTTAATCCAATAGAGCATTTGTGATCCTACTTGGAAAACCAAATTCGTGCTGCCACGCTACCTCCTCGCAATAGGAGGGAATTGCAGGACCAGTTGGTGAGCGCTTGGTACCAGATACCTCAGACTACCTATCAGCACCTTGTGGAATCAATGCCACGGCGGGTGCTAGCAGTTTTGAGGGCTAAAGGTGGTGGCTAAAGGTGAGGGCTAAAGGTGGCATAATGTAATGCTTCTTCGGTGTATATATATCAAATTTGCAAAAGAAAAAGTTGGTTTAAAAATTGGTTCAATAAAAAAATTTAAAAAAATTCTTATTTGAACCGCCATGAACCCGGAAGCAAATACGAGAAAATATTGAAAATAGTAAAATAAATTAAACGTGCAATTGATGGCATAAAAATTTACAACCCAACTCGAAGCAATTTTGCTAAAATTAGTTTCTGAAATTTATCTCGTGAAATGGTGCGACCGTTTTCCGATACTGAAAGCAATTTAAGCCAACATTATAAAAAATAAAGTTTTGAATGTAAATTTTTGAATCGATTCTGTTCATTATTATTTCATTAAAATCGTTTGGCCTATTTCTTACATTCCTTCAGTGCCTTATGAATATTTGGGGGTAGTGGTAGTCCAGTGCCTCGAGAATCAGACCGGAAGAGTCGTTGTTTGATTCTTGACTTGGCTAAGACCCACCGAATACATGTGATATCGTAAACTCTGTGGAATCGAAAGTCCCGTGGCAGGTCGTCCCTGACATATTTCCTTCTCCCTCAAATCTATACCTAAATTGAGGAAGTGGCCACACGAATGAGTAGTGCTGTCATCTGCCCGTAGACGTACTTTCTCCCTTGTGGTGCTCTCTTGTCAAACGAAAAGCGCACATGCCAAAAACTCAATTTACTGGCGAGTTTGGTTTGTCCAAGTGTCATTAGAAATAGCAACATGAGTATTTGAGCGTATGTGATATTTTATTGACATCAGAAAACATTCTAAACCGTTCGATTCAGCAGAAAAGAAAAATGGAATTCCCATAAAAGCAGCATTTAGAATATTGATTAAAACATTAATTGTAATATTATTGTTATCAGATTAATAATATTAAATAATTATTGGTACATTTTATTTATAATCTTGTAGGCTATTCAAGAAGTGCAGTTCGAAAGATACAATCAGCTTGGCAGAATTTATGGGTAAATAATTAATTTATACTGTGTTATTTATTTTATTTATATTATTTATATTGTTATACCTTTTAACCTCGCTATAAGGAACCCGGAAAATACTGAACGCTTGTTGATCGTGAGCTTTTTTAGTGGTCTCTTTCGCACTGTTATTTAATTAATGTTATTTGCTTGCTTATAGTGAATGGCTAAGATATCGGTAGTTCGCTTATGGTGTACTCAAATTTTCATTTGTAATGGGCGTTTGAGCTGGTATTTAAATAAAGGTAATGAAAATCTTAATCAGTCTGATAAGTTAAAATGTATATAAATTAAAAAAANCAAATAATGAGTCAAACCGAACATCAAATTGAAAACAACAAACCGCGCTGTCTAACGGCAGTCCGCACTTATCTGAATTAAGCCGAGACGTAAAGTCAATGATAGCACACCACCGAATAAATCTAACTTGGTACATTGCCTAATTTAGTTTACTCTGCACGCATTTTATATGTTTTTTATGTATTTTTTATTTCTTTATATTCACCATAATACTTAATAAATAATAGGAATGTATTTTTACAGTACATTTAAAATAAGAAATGCAGATATTTTCTAAAAAGCGGGACATTTTTAAAAATCGGCGGGGCGCGGGACAGTCCACCAAAAAGCGGGACTGTCCCGCCAAAATCGGGACGTGTGGTCACTTTATTCTAAACCGTTCGATTCAACGGAAGAGAAAAATGGAATTCCCTTAAAAGCAGCATTTAGAATATTAATTAAAACATTAATTGTAATATTATTGTTATCAGATTAATAATATTGAATAATTATTGGTACATTTCATTTATAATATTGTAGGCTATTCAAGAAGTGCAGTTCGAAAGATACAATCAGCTTGGCAGAATTTATGGGTAAATAATTAATTTATACTGTGTCATTTGAATTATTTATATTGTTATACCGTTTAATCTCGCTATAAGGAACACGGAAAATACTGAACACTTGTTCATCGTGAGCGTTTTTAGTGGTCTCTTCCGCACTGTTAATTAATGTTATTTGTTTGATTATAGTGAATGGCTAAGATATCGGTATTCCGCTTATCAAATTTTCATTTGTAATGGGCGTTTGAGCTGGTATTTAAATAAAGTTAACAAAATTTTTAATCAGTCTGATAAGTTAAAACGTATATAAATTTAAAAAAATTTAAATGGACTTTTAAAAATGAAATTCATTTAACCTTCGATGGAAAATTAATTTATTTATTTTATTTATATTACTTACATTGTTATTGTCTCCGGAAAATTTTGTGAACATTTTTAGTGGTTGAATCATAAGTCAAAAGCTTAGAAGACAAAAATAACGAAACGTCGAAGAAAAATTCGTTGTATAGAAATAACTATTTCGTTATACGGGGGTTGTTTTAAATGTCATTTAACGTTTCGCTTAAAAATTTCTTAGTAGAAAGAAATTAACTTTAAGGAAATTTCGTTGTAGAAAGAGTCTGCATATTTTGTTAGTCATAACTTGTAATACAAATTATGCACTACTGCAATTATTCTTTCTTTCAATGCTATTAAAATATATTAAGAAATTTTTTTTAAAAAAGATTATTGAACTAACGTTTAAAGAGGACATATTACTAGGTCCACAAACTTACAGGAAGTCAAATTTTGTGTCTTGGCGCAAAAAATGGCGTAAACAATGCATTTGTATCTTTTGATTTGGCGCAGGTGTGGGACCCCTGAAGTAGAACTAGAATATTTATCTTTGGGAACGTATGTTTTTAAATTGTATTTTGCAATATTATTATGGATTTTTAAGCTCTATATCTTAAAAATTTGTTTTTGATACTTTATGATCATTTCTTTAGTCTGTTTGACGCTACGTTTGCTGTGGGTCAACCTGCCCTGACTGTTGGCGATCCTGAACTTTTGAGAGACATCATGGTCAAAGACTTTCATTTCTTTCCCAATCGAAGGGTGAGCAAACATTGTGATCAGAGCGTGTACAACATACTTTAAATAAAAAATGATTATTCTACTTTCTTTTTAAATGAGAGAGAGACGATTATTCATAGGAATACAATGCACGTGACTTCAATAAATGTCTCATCGTTGTGTTTCATATTACAGGACTTGGGTTTTCGGGATGATTCTGTTTTTAATCGCATGCTGATTTTGTTAAGAGACGAAGATTGGAAAAGAGTCCGATCCATTGTATCTCCTGCCTTCTCCACTGGAAAAATCAAAAGGGTAAGCGGAAGAGTTGCCCTCTGATTTTAAGCCTTCTGCTACTATTTTAAATGAGTACAGATAATGATGACATCACAATCACAAACTACGAGGTACAGTGCGCAAAAATACAACAACACACGTGTGTAAGTTAGGGAGCAGCCCTTTATGCCTTATCATGTACAGCGCGCAAAATGAAAAACGGACCTCCCTGAATAACTTTCGATCTAGTGATCGGATCTTCACGTTTTAGGACTCAATCTTAATGGTTCAAGAGGGTGACCTCAAATATGCTAATTAATAAGTGCAAGCGATGTTTTAAGTTACGAAATCAGACACAAAAGCGTACTTTCTCTAAATAAACATAACTTTTTTTCGATGGATTTAGATTTTTAACCCCCAAAATACAGGGGGTCCCAATAGTTTGGTCAGAAAAGCTGTCTGAAGCTCGGATACCTTAATGCTAACTTAGCTTTTTGCGTATTTCGCCATAACTCAAAAATTCTTTTAAGCGAATTGAAAACTTTTTTCACACAATTGTAAAATTTATTTATCCAAAGAAAATCCCATGCTAAAAATAACTTTTAATGAATATTTATTATTTTTTTAATACTAGTCGAAAATTTTTTAAATAGTAAGGTACGCAATTTTTTACATCATTTTGAAGAATATAATTTTACTTGCACAGATACAAAATTTGAGCAAAATTGGTCAAATAATTTCACAGAAATCAAATTTTCAAAACACAATTTTTTTCAAATTCGATTTCTCAGAAACTATTCTATCGATTTCACACAAATTTTGTATTGTATATAAAACAACTGGAGGCGAAGGAGAGGACTAAATTAAAGGCAATAATAACTAAAAATGTATGAAATCCAAATATAATGTTTTGCAGCATCAGCCTCGTTATTTAATAGCCACATCTCGTATAATTACAAGTTCTCATGATTACCTGTAATCGAAAGTGATTACAGGTAATCATTATTGCTGAAACTCGGGTTTGAGTACCAGTGATGGCTGGTCAATTCAAATTCCTCACCCGGCTCGCACAGACCATGGTGCTGAAGTAAAATATCCTCAGTGGTACATGGATCATGGGTCAGAGTAACACTTCCTAGAAGAGAGAAGGCCTCAGCACGGTTTATGGTTCAACGTAATTGCAAATTTCCAAAATTATTTAATGGTCCAACGTAACGAACATAAACTGCGCAGGAAGGGTGGGTAAAATAAGAAAGATGTCATTACGTTTAGATCTACTAAGGGATCAAATTTCTTATTTATGGTAACCATTGCTGAGACCTACTCTCTTCTAGGAGGTATTGGCTTAAGTTCCCTTGCCATCAGGATAACAGTGGAAGAATTTCGTGGTTTTCCTAGCCATATAACGCAAAAGCGGTTTATTTTCATCAAAAAGTCCCCCACGAAGGCAAATTTCTCCCAATACTTGATCCAGGAGTTCCATTGTCTTCTGTATTGAGTTCAAAATGACAAGGCTACGGAATTGAGTAAGTTGTCCTAAACCCTAATTTGGGTCGGCTACTTAACGACGGTTATAATATAAAATAAAAGTAATCTTGATTATGATATATCAGAATATATGATTGCAAGTAATCATTATCATAAGTAATCAGGATTATGTGCCATTTTAATAATATTTTTCTCCTTTTCATTCAGGTTTTGAGTATTTTTAAGGAATCTTCCAGGACTTTGCTGCAGAATCTTAAAATAGCCGTTCAGAGAGGAGATTACATTGAAATAAAAAAGTATCTATCATTCTTTAACAGTAAGGAAAACAGAGTTACAAACTGTCAGTACGCGAATCATGCAGTTTAAAGGAATACGATAACTGCTTGTATCTAACCTTGATGCGTTGAGGGTTAAAATGAAAATATTTTGATAAGTGGCAAAACAAGTAAATAAAAATTATTATTATTGAAAAAACTTAAAAACAGTTTTTCGCACCAGTTTAACAAGTCGCTGAAATAATCAACCTGTAATTACATAATATACAGTCTGAAAAATGGTAGACAACTTGTTGATTAGCTTTCTTTCATTTCGCTTGGTCTGACACCTATTAAAATGTTCTTTTTATACTCAGTTTAAGTCATCACTATGTTTGGGAATCAAAACACTATACATTATATTAAATATGCTGTTAAGTATGCCTTAATTAAAAACAGCTCAGTGATATTCATCATAGAAATGAGAAAATAAACAAACAAAAAACGTTCCCCTGTGTATAAACTAATATTTTGTTCAGACATCGAGAAACGTCCTTGTTTAAAGGACCGAAATTATAGTATGTTCATTACTGTACATTATTTGTGCTTTATTTAAGTTGTTTTCCGCTTTAATGAGCATAGTAGTTCTTACTTTTAAAAGATTCGGTATTGTGGCTATGTTTTAAAAAATCACTTCAAAAGTACAGTAACTGGTAATTTGCACCACCATCATAATTTCCAACAAAAATGGTGTTAGAACAGTTGCGTTACAACAAATCGTTGGTCATAAAGGTAGACCAGGGTGCGTAGCGTTTTTAAAAAGTGCTTAAAGGTGCTTATTTTTGATTTTTGTTTTTTAAAATCCCTTCAAGGTGCTTTTTTCCATGGGTGTTTTTAAAAAGTGCTTAATTTTCCTTTTTCCGAAATGTGATATTTTTCTTTACCATGTTGATTTCCGCCACAAATTATGCGGAAAGACATTGTCCTATTCAACGTTTTCACAACTTATTCAACCCCAATCTATTTCGGCGTACCATCGGTCTGTAGTGTACGAAAACACCATTTGTTTTACATGTTTGATGAAATACCTGCTGGTCCGCACTTGCGCATACTGAGCTGGATTCAGTTGTAAGGATTTTTGTTTGTCATGTGCAACTCTGCTGCATTTTGCGAGAGATTCTCAATTTCAGACTTCATTTTCCGCCGGCTGTAATCGAATCGAAAAATCTCTCGAATTTTTGCTGATTACGGGGACCAACTAAACATTGTCAGATTTTTTTTCTTCTCTATTAGCGATAGAAAATTTCATTTCTCTTGTTAATTTCATTATTGCTGATGCGCCATCGTTTTTGTCCCTGGCAAGCAAATAAAATCATCAATTGTTAAAAACTTGTCAATCCTTTCTAATTATGATATTTCTTCAAAGTGCTTAAAAATATTTTTTGAGTGCTTGAAAAGGGCCTAAAAGGTGCTTATTTTTTGTTGAAAAATTTGGCTACGCACCCTGCAGACCATAGACAATTGTTTTGCTTATTTATAGTAAGAGGCTAAGCCCCTCCCTGAAGATCACCAATCCCGATGATGCTTTTCAATAATTGTTGTTTCTTGGCATAAAAGAGTTTAAATTATTCAACTAAAAATAAATGTACTAAAAAAGAACACTTGTGCCACCACTTCCCACCTCCAAATATTAGTACTATTAGTGAAAAATAAATACTATTAGTGATCTATTTGTGAACATAAATCATTTTTGTTCACTAATTTTTGATTCATAACATTTAAATTATTTGTACTAATTATTTGTACTAATTATTTGTACTAATTATTTATCACTAATTATTTGTACTAAATTTTAAATGTTCTTTTTTGAAATAACATTTAAAATTAAAAGTATATTGTTATAACTAGAGCCCGGATTTTGATGACCTAAAAATCTCAACTAATGCCCTTAAAAAGTGCAAAAAATGCCCTTAATAAGGGCAAAAAAATGCCCTTAAAAATGCAAAAATTGCGCAAAAAATACCTTAAATAAAGTAAAAATATTGAATTAAAAAAATGTTTTGCTCTTTAAAATTATTATGAGTCATTTAAAAGATATAAAGCAATGCAATACTTGTTCTACGCTCATTAAAGTTTGAAAAATATGTTTTATATCCTAAAATAACAAAAAAAAGGAAAATATATTGACACCAAAATATTTTTATTTTGTATAGAAACTTTAATGGATATAACAACTTCCATCTCATAATATTACTAACTATCAGAATTATATTGGATTATTAAATGTTTTTTGATAATTTGAAATGTAAACGAGCGTCTCTTGTCTGAAAGTAAATTTTCATTCCTGCAAAAGCTTCTTTCAACGTCTACTGATGTTATAGGTGCGTACTTGAAAAAGACGGTCTTACTTACTGACAATTCTTCTTCAATTTGAAAAGATGTTGCTTCGCCTGTTAATATCCTATAGATTTTCTTTATTGTTTGGAAGCCAGTGTAATAATGAAAATTGATAAAAAATAATAAAAATTGTAAAAAATTAACAGAAAACTTTAAAAAATGCATTAAAATGCAAAATACGCCCCAAAATTTCAAGAAAAATGCCCTATAAATCTAAAAAAATGCTCTAAAAGACAAAAAATGTCCAAAAATGCAAATATCATCAAAATCCGGGCCTTAGTTATAACATATTTGATGAGTTCGCAATTGTCATTTAATATTTTTGCTTACCATACGGATAGATGTATATTTTAAATACAGTTTTTCCATGCATCAATTTGTGCATGAAGTTAAGCTCTAAATCATTTAACGAATCTCTTTAACAGTAATTCATAATAGTAGGATTAATATTGCGCCAAACAATAATAGTAATTGTAAAATGTTTAATAAGGTCAGACACTGATTTAAATGAATTCATCTTAAAATCTAACGTACAATTACGCAATTCTAATAATAATAAAAACAATCACCAGATCAGTCATTTTTGGATCGAACCCTTGCGATTTTAGTGAAGTTTGGAGTGTAGGACAAACATAAAAAATGCTACCTAATTATATTTTTTGTTGTAATTGTTGTATTTATTGATTTTTGAAAAACTAAGATTTGCATTGAAAAAGACAAACATGCATACGTAAAAATAACAAGAGACAATTTTAAACATCATAGAAAACTGAAAAGTAGACTTTTCAATAGATATTAGGTATGACTAGCTTAGGCTAAATCAAAGTTGTTTGATTTGACCTGCAATATTTCAAAACAGGCCAAGTTAAAAAAATTGCAAAAGAACTTTTCTTACCGCAACATTCTTTGACACGTGTAAAAGCTTGAGGACTCCACAGGAATCGACTAAACAATTAAAAAAAGTGATATACTAAACAACTCTATCTTCTTACATCTCAGACATTAGACATAATATCCATGGAAAGGTGAGTAAATAAATCCAAAATTATTAAGCCAATATGAAATTTCAAGCTTTTTTTACTAAATACAAAGATTATATGAATAAAAAGTAATTACTATCGAAGTGGTCATTATTTTGATTTAAAAGAGATCAAAATAAAAATATTACTTTTAATTTCTGCATTTTTTTTGTATTTAAAAATGGTCTGCCTTTGTCTATGTTTAAAATTTCTGAAAGAAGTACATAACATGAGCAATACTAATTTCATAGAAAATATTTTATAAAAATTACTAGTAAAATAATATAACTGATTGGTAAAAATATTGAAAAAAAAACTTTATAGGCTAAGTTGGTATTAAAATTGATACTCTTTTTAATTGGAAAGTTAAAATCATTTCTTAGGTCGAAAGGTTTGAATGAAATTTTTCTATCTTCATTAATTTTAAGAGATAAATCTAGAAAGTTAACTGAAAGATATGAAATATTAGTTTTGTTAAGAATTAATTCATTTGGATAAATTTGCTTTGCTAGAATTTTAAAATCATCAAAATTAATAACCATAAAATCATCAACACATTTAAGAAAGAAGGAATTTGTATAAAGATGATTTAACTAATGATTTAACTAATCTGTATTCTTAAAGAAAAAGAAAAATATTGCAAACGTTAGTACTAAAATTATTTCCCATGGGAATACCATTAATTTGTTCAAAAAGACAGTCATTAAATGGAATATAATTGTTGTTGGGGTACATCACAACATATAACAATAATATCACTGCTAGTGTTGAGTTTTTTGTATGTAATACTACTGTTAAGTTCATTAGAAAGAATTTGTTTCTTAAAGAGTTTTTCAACAATAGCAAAATTATAACTAGCTCTATCAACAGTGGTAATACAGAAATAATTTTGAATTATTTTAATTTCTTGTTTCAGTTCCGAGTTAAACTTTCAAATTTTTTTTGAAAAATTAATTTGTTCCTTTTCATACTAATTTTAAAATCTTCAGTAATATTATCTTTCCATTCATAAAGGCCTTCAATTGGAAAACTATGTTAGTAGGACAATTTTAAAATAAACTTATCAAGACTTTTAATAACAATAGAAATAACCTTATTTGTAAAAGTAGGATATGGTGGTCTAAATTTAGAACCTAAAGACCTTTAGAACCTAAATTTTTTAAGAATATTATTTTCAATAATATCTAAATCTCCGGTAATAACATGATTATGGAAGGTATCAAAATATTCCTCACATTTACAAAAAAAAAAAAAAAAAAAAAAAAAAAAAAAAAAAAAAAAAAAAAAAAATTATCTGCAGCTAAATTCCTATAATTACAAATAAATTTTTTGTATATCTAACAATGAGTTTGTAATTTAGTTGAATGGAAAGAGGGTTTTTATTTTTTATTAAGAATTGCGTTAAAATCAAGTTCATTAAAAATCTTATTTGTAAAATCTAAAATTAATAGTCTGGTTTATACCGATATTTAATNATATATATATAAATTTGTTTTTAAATTTTTTTTTTCTGTTTCCATTAATCTTTGCATTTTTTTCATGTTTTCTTTATATTTTTAATTTATTTTATTAATTCTATAAACTTGCAGCTTATGCACAGTTAATAAAACCTATTATTATTTTCCTTAATTATCTTCGTTATTCTTTTAATTTACCACCTTCGGCGTTTAAATTCATTTTCGATAGGTGATCTAAAAAATATTTATTAGGGTTGTCATGACAGTCGGAATGCAGCGGAACGAATACTACAAACTTAACGTAATATTCCGTATCAACATGTAAGAACAGAAATCCCTTGTTTGTTTTAGATACAGCAATTAAACGGATGTTTCTTGATTAATTTTTGTGTTTTAGATTGTACGGAGCTTTTGCGATGGACGTTATAGCGAGCGCAGCCTTTTCAACCAAGATCGACTCTCACAACAATTCAGAGAACAAGTTCGTTACAGAAGCTCGGAAAATAATCAGGACTTCTCAAGGAAGATTTTCCGGACTTTTTCGTAAGTAGACAAGGACTTATTCATGCTAAGCTTATTCATGCTAAACAAAGCTTGTTCTTGCTAAGTGTATATGAATCACAATATAGACGGCTAAGTATAAGATACAGTGAAACCTGTTTTTGTGCGGTCCTTTTTTATGCGATTTTATTTTTGTGCGATTGGTTTTGTACGATTTTATTTTTGTGCGATTTTATTTTTGTGCGATTTTATTTTTGTGCGATTTTATTTTTGTTCGATTTCTTTTGTGTGATTTATTTTTATGCGGTATATGAATCTTAGCTGCGTTAGCACCAGTTTAATGTTTCCTATTAATGTGCATATACATGTTGTGGACGAACTCTGATTACGTGGTCTTCTTGACAACGATGTATCTGGACTTCGTGATGCTCTGTTTATTTACTTTCATTAGTTTATTTATTATCGTCCACTCCATTTTCTCTTCTGTTTAAAATTTATTCAGCGCTAAACAAGTTGAAGTAAATCAGTAAAAAATCGCATGCTGTGTTAAAATACTTAGTATTTTAAAATTAAACCGTTATTTTTATTTTGTAAATTCTCGTCTGCGTGTATCTCAAATACTATAGCCAGGGGTCCCCAACCCTATGCCCGCGGGCACCATGGCGCCCGTCGATCGATCTAGGTGCGCCCGCTGTTCAACTATAAAATATTTCAGTTTTCCATTTTCCCAATAAATGCTATGCAAATACATACTGAAGTACGCTGGCTTAGTAAAGGTAAAGTACTTGAATAGATTTCTACATATAATTGGAGAAATAAAAAATTATCTTGCAAACAAAAATCATACATTTTTAGAACTAAGAGATCCTCTTTGGCTAGCAGATTTGTCTTTCATAACGGACGTAAGGAAAAAACTAAATTATTTAAACTTGGAGCTGCAGGGAAAGGACAAACATAAAGCAAAAATGATAGAGGCTGTTAAATCGTTCAGAGCTAAGCTAGTTTTGTGGATATCACATTTGAAAATGAAGTCTCTTGTGCATTTTCCAAGCATGAAAAAATTGATAGGTGACAGTGAAATTGACATTTGTCATCAACCTCCAATTGCTTAAAGATCAATTTAATAGCAGCAATTTAATATCATCGAGTCTTTGATAACTTTTTTGTTAATCCTCTTACCAACCAAATAAACGTAACCGTAATAGCAACATAGATTTCAGAATTTCTTCAAGTAAAGCGAGAAGAATTGGAGATAGAAATTTTGGATCTCCATTGGATGACATTATCCTCAAAACTATTATATCACATGAGAAATTCTGGAATATATTTGAAGGACTAAATTCCATTCTTAAAAAGAGCATCATATTCTCCCAATTATGTAGCGCGGGTCAGCGAAATGCCATGCCAAACACCACATGCCACTGTATTTTATAAATAATTTTTTATACTTCGTATGTTTTAAAAGCAATTTAGTAATCATTTATTTTACACAAAAATATTAATTGCATTCATATGTTAAATTAATTTTTGAAATTTAATTTTTTGTGCACTATATGTAGTGTGTATTATTACCTATGTCTACCAACTATAAATTTATGTTGAAAAAATAAATGGTGCCCGCCATTCAACCGATATTCTGGTATTTGCTCTTAGGTACAAAAAGGTTGGGGACCCCTG